AAACGCGTATCTTGCACTGTCAAGCACACGTCTCTGAAAGTAACCGATTGTTGCTGTTGTTGTTTTGACGACCTCCTGCAAGCTAGAGAATGTCATCCCGCTTGAAAACCGCTACGCCTTGTAACTGCTTCCAAATTAGAAGATTGCTTCGCCTGAAACTACCTTCCTCCGCAATGATAATATTCCACGTCCAAGGGAATATCATCGAAAATCATTTCTCTTGAAATAATTCTCATCCGCATTATGATCATCTTCCATGCCTCAGGAACTATGATCGAAGACAATTTCGCCCGAAATTACCTTCAGTTGTTTGTGACACCTTTCCGCAAGCTAGGGAATGATGTCGAAGACATCTTCTCTTGAAGTTATCCTCATTTGATGCGATAATCTCCCAAAGGAAAATACCGAAGATCCACGCCCGTCGATCTTTAAAAGTTCGCCTGAACTTTGCTTTTTGCTATGCCTGTATGTCGGCGCTTTTTGCTCTTGAACCTATATGTTGGTGCCTTTTTCTAATGAACCTGTATGTCGGTGCCTTTTGCTAATGAACCTGTATGTCGGTGCTTTTGCTAATGAGCCAATGCTTAGGCGCTTTAAGCTTAGTGAGACGATCTTTTCATCAGGTCGATCACTTCATGTAATCAAGCCGATTACCTAATCATGTCAAATTTCTCACAAGGGCTAACTGGCGTACCAAGGAACCCAAAGTATATTGCAGAATACTAGCACAACCCCAGAAGGTGGCTGGCTGCTTTGGCGTCGTTGAAAATCGATCAACGCCAGACTTATGGCATTAGCGTCATGCGCTGAAATTAGCGTCTGGCGCCAAGCACAGAATGTGACGCCAATGCCTAGGGACTGGCGCCAGCACAGGAATCACTTTAAATTCTCGTTTTCAGTTCATTTCGTGCTCAAGTTTGTTGCGAACGCTGCTCGAAAGAAGTCGAAACTTCAATTGATCATTGCTCATTCGTTTTTCAACCGAATCTGCTCAAATTTGTTGCAAATCAAAGCTCTTCTCATCCATATTCCCGATCTATGTAAGTTTTCCTCCAACTCACACCGGTTTTTATGAATTATTGGCATGGTCATTCACGAATTTCATGAAAATTCGAAACTTATGATGCTCAATTTGCTTTGTTTATCAAATTTTATGCCATGAAATTGCTTGTTTATGTTTGTATATTGCCTTGGGAGTAATTTGAGACTTGTTTGACTCAATTTGGTGAAGAAATGAGCAATCCGCCATTGTTGGACCTCCTAAGGTCGTGAAAAACAATGTGACTCGTTCTTGATGTTTTTGCTAGCAAGTCTTGTTCAATTTGTCACAATAATCACTATAGTGTTGCAAGAAATTGTTTGATTGCTTGAAAAAATGTTGTCATGCTCAATTCGAATTTGTGCTCTGTTTTAGTACTACGTACTCTGTTTTTTGCGAACATAGTATCATGCGGCTAGGCCAACCTTTAAATACTATAGAACCTTGATATATGATGATTATGCACAATGTAGCATGGCTAGACAACGAGGCTCAGGTTCACGGTCCCGAAACACTAGACGGGAGCAGGAGCCCGTGGAAGACGACACCACACCGTCCACTTCGCTTGGTCAGTTCCCAGAGTGGGATGAGCGGACCTTGATCTTTGCCCCTGTCCACCACATTTCTGAGAGGGTGAGACGGGGAACCGAGCCTGGAAGGACACGGCATCACGGCTCTGGCTGCGATGGTCTCGGCGATTTGTACAGGATGCATATTGCCAGAGATCGAGAGACGAGACTCCTATGGGAGTCTTGCGGACTGGTTGCCCTGTTTGAGACCTCCGAGGCTATGGCCGCCTCCAGCGGGGGTCACCACGTAGTACGCGCTCTGGTGGAGTTCTTTTGGGACACCACCAACACATTTCATTTTCCATGGGGTGAGATGATGGTCACACCTACAGACTTCAGTCTCATCACAGGACTGGAGTTCTCTTCTGTGGCACTGCCATTTGGCGGCGGTATCGACGTCTTTTCTCCAGAGGTCGAGGAACTACTGAGGCCGATTGCTGTTCGGGCCCGAGCTGAGGTCGAGACGACTCATTTTAGTGCTAGAGGGATTCGCCGCTCAACACTGGCAGCGGCTCTTGATGACGATGCGACCAACCGAGAGCAGCGGGTGCGCATCTTTGTGATGATGTTGTTGTCAGGGACATTCTCCCCTGATAGGGGTAGTAGGGCGTTGCTTTACTATCTCCCTACTGTTCGCGATCTCCGGCGGATCGGGACTTATGACTGGGCCAGCTTGGCCTATACTGACTTCGTTCGCGCACTAAGGGACTCGTGTCGCCACCGGTCTCTTAGGACGAATGTTGCTTTGTCTGCTTTCTGGAAAGTCGTAGAGGTAAACATTATTCCCTGTAAAGTTTAGCCCTATATGTTTAGTTAGCATTTACTCATGCTTTAGCTTTTTGTAGATATGGTTTTATGAATACTTTCCTTCCATTGCGCCGGCGAGACCATCGCCGAGGGGGTATCCGGTGAGCGCCTCTTGGGGCGGCCACCATGTGGACTTGTCTACTGCACGTGTCCGGAGTCGGATCATCTCGGTACGACTTTTAGTGTTTAACTTGCTCTTCTGCGTGTTTTAGACATGTTCTTACCCGATTGGTATTTTAATAGGGACCTGAGGTAGTATACCGGCCATGGGGCAGTTGGACAGTCCCTGGATTAGCAGCACAGTACTCTGCTGAGCGCCGTTATTTTCTGGGTACCTACGGAGCGGTTGCGTATTTAGGAGAGAGAGTTGCTAGACAGCACTCTTCCGATATTTTTGTCGTTCCTACTCCTCCACCACGCTACATGTTCGATGAGAGAGAGTTGTCGAGCATGGCTGAGGAGCCTGGTTCTCTTTGGCGGTCCTATGTGATCCTTGGGCGGAGTTATGCTGAGGAGCTACTTCCTTTGTTAGCTCCAGCCCCCGTGCCGGCCGAGGATGTTAGGGTAAGATCCTTAACTTTTTTGTTTTTCACTGAGTAGCCCCCAAGTAACATCTTAGTGATTTCTTTTCTGTTTTATCAGGATGGTCCCACTGAGTTTGTGCCACCCCGTATGTCCATTCACTACCAGGGGATGTACGGGCCGATCGAGGAGATGATTTCTCCGGCTCCTGAGGGCGAGCGCTTCGTGGAGCGGTCGATTCCTCGTCACCAGACCAGAGTAAGTCTAGCTCTAATTCAGAATCTTGTATTCAGTTATCGTGCATTTTTACTGACTTAACCTTCCTTGACAGTTCTCACGCGAGGTGGTTTCGGCTATGGCACGATGCATAGATGCCTTCCGGAGCCAACTCGTCCGGATGAGGAACGCGGCTACCTGTCGTCGAGACGACGCTGTCCGAGAGGTAACTTTTCTTTACTTATTGTTTCTACACTATGCTTCAGCTTTCACCTTGTTTCTGATTTATTTCTTTTTGCAGGGTCAGCCGATTGCTTCTCACACCCGTACGAGGCCTGAGGGGCGAAGAGAGCCGACGAGGTCTAGCTCGAGACGTTGTCGCACTTCGTTAGGAGGTAGAGGTGGCCGTTCCGAGGCTGCTCGAGCCGACGTTGCTGAGGGCTCAGGGTCTTCTTTTGAGGGTGCTCCTGCTGCACCGGTAGGAGAGGCTACCTCGGCTTTCAGAGGTGGTGGGATGTACGAGGTTGGCTCGTCATCGCAGCAACCTCCGCGGTCTCAGCCTCAGGTTGACCTTGGCTGGAGCGGTCCTGTTTTAAGTTTCCCTCCTCCTACGGAGACTAGAGCTAGTGCTGAGGCTGGAGCTGGTGGAGAGGTGACACCTCGGACGGCGCAGTTTTATGGCATGATGGGCCTACGTCCTCCGGCGCCGCAGTTCACTTCTGTATATGCATTTTATTTTGACTTTTTATAGAACTTTGCCTTTGACTTGTTATTTAGACACTTTGTTCTGTAAATCTATTATTATGTTAGTGTATGTTAGTGTGTGAAAATGTGATGATAATTTTGCGCAAAAATTCCGTCATTTTTATTATTGATGGAGGGTATTATCCGACTCTCTCCCCCAAAAAGGAAAATAAAAAGGAAAAATAAAACGGAGAGAAAGGCTGATTTTTTAATATAAAATCAAGAGAAAATAATAATTAATTAAGAAAAGGATAGAAAGATATTTAGAAGAAATTAAAACGGGGCCACAAAGTCATTAACCGACTCTAAAATAAAATCAGAACGCAAACTGAGTACGCGTGGCTGTCCTGCTGACTTGGCGCCAGCTGGCGCCAGGCGCTATTTCTAGCGTGTGGCGCCAATTGACGCTGACTACGTATTCCAGTCAGGTTGAAACTATTCGCAATTTGTGCATAAATAGCCCCCTGCGCAGCCGATTATTCACATAACACTACAACAAATTCACCTTTGTGCCACGAGTAAAATCGTGGCACATTTAAAATTCTCGTGGCAATGTAGTGTAGCCACGGGAATTTTTAAATTTACTCTTGTGACACAAGAGGCCGTGGATAGGAAATTTGCCACGGGAAAATGGATGTCGTGGCAAATTTCGAATTTTATGCCACGGGTATGTAACATGGCAAACAAATTCACTTGCCACGAATATTAATGTGACTAACAAGTTTTTTGCCACAAATTCTACCGTGGCTAATAAACTTAGTTGCCACAAATATTACCGTGACCAGTAATCTTCTTTGCAACAAATATTACCGTGACCAGTAATCTTCTTTGCCACAAATATTACCGTGGCTAATAAACTTTGTCGCCGCAATATACTGTAGCTAATTATTTATTTGCCACAAATAATACTTAGGAAAATAAATCCATTGCCACATTACTATCGTGACAAATAATATCATTTTACACTAATGACTATCGTGGCTAATAATTTCAATGGGCATAAGCTTTAATTTGTTGCAGCATTTATGGTATACGCATAACTGAATATTAAAGATCGAGTTTTTCTCAAATATGTCATATTTGTCATTCTTGAAATCGATATATAACATTAAAAAGGTGATATTATGTCTTGGAATCCCATTCATTCAAACATACTTGAATTCGATATCCATACATACAAACATACTAGAAATCAATTGTCTCATTGTCTCATCACTAGCTCACTCTTACTAAAATAAATAAAAAATAAAACACTCAAATTGTTTTGCTGAAGAACAATATATACTCTATATATATGTACAATGTGACAATATGTCTGTGCTCCGCTCCTTGTTACCTACAATGAATAAATAGATAAATGATCAAGTTGATATTTTTTCAAAAAGAGCACCAAAAAAAGGATATGTTTTCAAAATGAAAAAGTCAAATTGACACAAAATATAGAACAATTAACTTTAAGCTCATAAATTATAACAACTCGCACATGGCAAAATTCTTTAATGTCTAACTACTGCTGCTATAACATGTGAATAATGTATAATAGGTGAATAATGTATAACTACTTTAAGCTCATAAACTTATATCTAAGATGAATCATGCATCAATGAATAATGTATAACAGGTGAAGATAGCATTACTTACTTCATTCCTTTGAACCTTGACTTCCTAAATCATCAGAATCTGATGAACTTCCTGCTCCAAGAAAATCCAGAAGTTGACTAAACTTCTTCTCCCAAACTGCATTATTATCAGCAATTTTTCTGTCCACGTCATTCTTAACAGCTTCTGCCTCTTTTTTGGCTTGTTCAGCTTCTATTTTAGCCTGTTCTGCTTCTGTTCTAGCAGTTTCAGCTTCTTTTCTTGCATCTTCAATTGCTTGATCTGCTTTCTTTATAACTTCATTCACCTCTTGGAGGGAGATTGTACACAACAACCACTACTAGCCATATACTATAGTCACTTCTAAGCCCGCCAAATGGATTGAATCCATCACTTGCTAAACCCAACCTAACATTACGAGTCTCTGCAGAAAAAGTAGGATATTCTTTATCTAAATGCTTCCAAGCTTCACTATCTGCTGGGTGTCTAAGTACTCCGTCATCTTCTCGTTTATCAGAGTGCCACCTCATCTCATTTGCTGTTTTGGGCGACATGAATAGCCTTTGCAACCTCGAAGTTAGTGGGAAATAGCGTAACACTTTAGGAGAAGCTTTATCACGCTTAGTATCGCATATGGAACACTTTTCAAGGTTAGCATTCTCTTTCCAAAATAGCATACAATCATTTTCACATGCTTCTATTTTTTCATAATCGAAACCAAGATTAGTAATCATCTTACGTGCTTCATAATAATTTGATGGCAAATCAGCACCTTTAGGCAAAGCATATATGAACATATGAAGCATACTAGTAAAAGCTTTATTAGTCATGCCATCCATACATTTGATTTAGAATAACTTCAAAATGAATGACAATATAGAAAATTCATTACACCCGGGGTATAAAGTTTGTTGAGCATCTCTCATCAAATTTTCAAACATTTTTGCCTCTTTTGTATCCTTTTTATATCTAGGTTGATCAAACTCCTTAGGTTGTTGCTCAGCATCTAACATGTCATCTATGTCATCATTATTAGAAACTCCGGGACTAAACATGTCATGGATCATTCTATATATATCATCATGAGCACTATCTCCCAAATAATTTCTACTTTTCTTTTGTGGGGGTTTGAATTCTCCATGATAGATCCAACGAACATAACCTTGCACGATTCCATTCACTATCAAGTCGGTGTAAATTTCGTCCCTTGTTTTATGTGGACCATTGTTGCATCGATTACAAGGGCAAGGTACCTTATTTTCCTCTTCTCCTAAATCACTATTTGTTTCTAAGTCACCAAAAGCAAATTGAAGAAAGGAATTAACTCCATTTATATAGAGATTGTCTGTCCTATTAGCACACCTCATCCACTCTAACCTCTTTTGAACATCCAGAGTATCCATGTGAAAATAAAAGCTATAAATGCAAAGAGAGCTAATTATTAAAAAAATTGAAAAGTAATAATAATAATTATCAATAGTCATACATAATTCACAATGACTAGAATGGCACATTTCCAACAGAATTTGTCAGTTTATGTTGCAATAGATTTGTAGTTAGAGCTAGTATTATGTAGTAGTAGTAGTTTAAGATTAAGCTTTTGTTCTAATTTCAGTGGGTTTGGTTTGATAAATAGTCTTACTTATTATCTAAGTGGACCTGAAATTATTTAAATCATCATTTACTTTTGTTTTGTTGGACTATTGGTTTTGTTATTATGTGACTCTGTTTATCTTTCGTTTTCTATGGCTTCCCCCACTACATATAATTGTCTCGAGATACATTGTGCATTGCCTCTCAGTAACGCATAAGATATATGGTCCCCCACTAAATATGAATGACTTTAACTAGGGAAGACAAAATAATTGCAAATGTACTATTTCTTACATTCTACTATTTTATATACTTCATGCATTACTCCATAGTTTGTTTCTTAAACTTTCATATTGCAGTAAAGTTATAGTTAGACTTGGTATCTATTTTTTAAAGAGCTATAAGTTATCATTTTTCAATTAATTAAATGAAAACAGGAAAGCGAGAGCAAAATCAGTTGAGCCACACCAAATTGAAGCTGAAATTGCAAAAATATAATCAAAATTCGAGAACAATTCTATTCAAGCATAGGAAGTAGAGTCCAACGTATTTCAATTGCTACCACATAAGTATTGGAAAAAATAGATTAAATCACCATTGATTCACATAGTAAAACACTACATATGAGATAAACGAACAGGTTATAGATCTAACCTTGAAATTTTGTCCAAGAATTGATCTTGCGAGCGTCAGTCGACTCTTCGAATTAGGGATAGTTCGAACGGTTTTGATTCTTCTGCAAAAGATTTTTGATTTCTTTTCTTTTTTTTTTTCGGGAAAGATTCTAATTTTTGAGGGAATTTTGTGGTTTAGCTAATTTTTTTAATAAGTTGGCAGCTAATGAAAGGGAATTTAGCGCCTAATCAGCACATCAGTAGGGTTATTTTTTTTTTATTTTTATTTATTTTCTTTTTAAAAAAAAAATATATAGCAATTCGTGGTTATACTCTTTTTTTTGTTTAAGGAAGGAAACATGATCTTATAATATAACATATAGAATAACAAACTAAGCTCAAGTGATACTTTATACAGGTATAACATATATATATATATATATATATATATATATATATATGGGGGAGGGATCATGTGAGAACCAAGCCTTATATGAGAACCAAATTAAAATGAGAATCAATCTTATGCCATTAAAAATTATGAAACTAACGGCTGAGATTAGACATATGCACATGTATACCCACTGTGCATTTATTGAGACAATGATCACGTTTTCCCCTATTTAAAACTGCAATTTTAATGTCTAATCAAAACTGACGGTTGGTTTGCTTCCCTTACACACCGCTAATTCTTACAAATTTACATCATTTCAAAAACCAATTATCTTACTTCAATTGTGTTCGCGCCCATAACTTCCATTGGGAGAAAAACGGAAGTAACTGCTACACTGTTCTATAAAAACCCCAAAAACTACCCAAAAATACCCATTCTCGATTTTGTTAGAAAAATGAAAAAACAAACGCAGAAAAAGGACTACCGAAGCAAGGAGAGTTTCAAGAAATTTCAGTAAGTTTTTTATAATTCAGTAAATTATGATGAAAATAAGATAATGTAAACAGTTTGGGTTTTAAATTTTCAAAATGTTTGGTTTTTAACAGAGAAAGGTTGCGAAGAGAGTTGGATGGAGTGGAGGGGGAAAACCCTACGGAGGAGGCCGGCGTTCCCGCTGCAGCCAAACAAGCGACGGAAAACGTACAACCACCAACGACGGAAGCTCAATTGACAAAGTAATGTTTCCAATTTTATTGTTATTGTCGCGCGAATTATACTTAGGGTTTCAAAAATTACATAGATTGTGTTTTGGCATTTCAAATTACTGCAACTAGGGAGGAGGCCGGCGTTCCCGCTGCAGCCGAACAACCGACGGAAAACGTACAACCACCAACGGCGGAAGCTCAATTGACAAAGTAATGTTTCCAATTTTATTGTTAATGTCGCGCGAATTATACTTAGGGTTTCAAAAATTATATAGATTGTGTTTTGGCATTTTTCAAATTACTGCAACTAGGGATTTAAAATTAGTATCAAATTAATTTTGTTCCATAATTTTGTTATAGCGCTTCTGTATTTGGAATTATTGTAACGGAAAAATGAACCATTGTTTCTGAACGTTGTTATGTTTTGAATTATAAGAGTAATTTTGATTTGTTCCATAAGTTGTTGTTATTGTTTCAAAATTAAATAAACTAATGTCACAGTCAATTGTGTTGTTAAAATGTAGATTAATTGTAATTTATTGATGTTTCATAAAATATATAAAGTGTTATAATTATTCAAATCAATGTTTCATTTATTATATTGCTTGTTTCATGTAGTTTGGTCCTTTATGAACTAGATGTAGTAATATGGTTTCGTTTTGTTTGTAAGATGGTTCATATTTTCATATCAATGATTCATATATTATATTGCTTGTTTCATATAGTTGGGTTCTTTATGAACTAAATGTAGTGATATGCGTTCGTTTTGTTTGTTAGATGTCTCAATTGTTTCAGATTAATGTTTCATTTATTATATTTCTTGTTTCATATAGTTGGGTTCCATATGAACTAGGTGTAGTGATATGTTATACATTATGTTTCAAAAAATCACACCATATGTTTCATTTATTTATGTATATGTTCCAAACAATTGTGTTGTCAACGTTATGTTAAAATGTAGTTGAATTGTTTTTTAATGATGATTCATAAAATATGCAAATTGTTTCAGTTTTTCATATAAATGTTTCATATAATATATAAATTAATTCAGTTTTCCATTTTCCGGAATAATAACAATTCTGTTTCATTTTTTATTAATTATGTTCCATAAAATACATGTATTGTTTCATATACTAATTACATTGTTTCATGCATTAAATCTATTTTGTTTCATATTTTATATTAGCGTCGCTGATAAGGAAAAAGTGGTACCCGTGCCAAAAAAAAAAGGAAGGAAACTCCAGCAAACGTACAGTCTGCGAAGGGGAAAAAAATCAGACATGTGCAAGAAGACAGTGATGAGGAGGAACAAGTGGCATTTAGACAACGTATTCCACCAGCCAAATTCATGAAACATGTTATTGTAGGACTTCCGGAAGCTCACAAGCAAGCTGTAAGGGATGTAGGCTTTGGTTCCTTCCTACTATTGGACCTGGATTCTAACAAAAACAGTTTTTGTCACGAGCTTGTGGCAAGGTTCAACCCCGACAGAGCCTCCCTTTAATTGCCAAATAGAGAGGAGATAGAAGTCCTCCCGGAAGACGTCCATGCTGTATTTGGTCTTCCAATTGGAGGGAGAGAAATTAAAGACAATAAGTGGATTGAAGAGGATGAAGAATCGCAGGTTTTCCTGCAAAAATGGAGAGATCAATTTGATGATGGAAGTCCAACCAATACCTCATTAATACAGCTGATTGAGACCCAAAAAGATGAAGATGTAACCAATGAATTCATCTGGAATTTCATTGTGGCTGCCATAAATTGTTGTGTACGATCTACATCTCGTTCAACATTAAATTTTTAATTTTTGTATTGCTGTGAGAATGTCTCACAAATTAAGACTTACGACTGGTGTACATACACATTTGAGAATCTGATAAACTCCGTAGCAGAATGGAAGGAAGGAGTTGCATACTTCACAGGACCTCTACCATTCTTGATGGTAAATATATTGTTTCAGAATCTTAATAAACTGTTTCACTGAATAATTACAATGTTACGAAAATAATCCTTACTGTTACACTGTTAATTTGAGTACTTGCTTTAGTATTAGTTGTTTCATATTTTATGTAATTTGTTTCATGTTAAATACATAATGTTTCAGTATTAGCAACACAATGTAAGTTGCTTACGTAACTTGTTCAGATACTGGAATTCAGATATTGTTTCAGAATCCTAATAAACTGTTTCACTTAATCACTACAATGTTACTAAAATAATCCTTACTGTTACACTGTTAATTTGAGTACTTGCTTTACTATTAGCTATTTCATATTTTATGTAAGTTGTTTCACAAAGTTGTGCAGATGCTGGAATTCAGATCTGGAATTCAGATATTGTTTCAGAATCTAAATAAACTGTTTCACTGAAGAATTACAATGTTACTAAAATAATCCTTACTGTTACACTGTTAATTTGAGTACTTGCATTACTATTAGCTGTTTCATATTTTATGTAAGTTGTTTCATGTTAAATATATTATGTTTCTTATAATAAATATGCAGTTTCATAATAAACGTCCGTTGTTACATATTCATATTTAAAACCAACTGTTTCATATTGTTTATTTGTTGTTACATATGATAAACAAACTGGTAATATTTGTACTTTGATATCTTCTGTCAAAGTACATAACCTGTTTAAAATGTAGAAAAATGTTGGTTTAAAATATGAAACAGTTGGCATATAAAATGGAACATCATATATATACCTGATGTTTCATTGTTACTTATGCTGTTTCACATTATATGCCATTTGTTTCATTACATATTACTGTTGTTTCATATATCGATGTTTCATTGTTACTTATGCTGTTTCACATTATATGTCATTTGTTTCATTACATATTACTGTTGTTTCATATAACTGTTATTACATATTTAACAGATGGTGTTTCATTTTATTGTGAAACAGAACATACATTTGAAATCACATTTATTATAAAATGAAACACCATATGTTAAATATGTAACAACATATATTCAAAATATGTGATATCAAATGTATGTTCTGTTTCATTTTATATGCCTGTTGTTTCAAAATGTCAACCAACAATTTTTCATACTTGCTCAAACAGGTTATGTACTTTGATAGACTGAAGCGTGGTACAACTCAACCACGAAGGACAATACCCCTAATAGCCGTTTGGAACAAGCAGATGATACAAGAACGAATGAAGGTGGAGAAGAAGAGAGGATTTGGACAAGGTAAAGTCCTCGACAGGTTAACTGCTATAAACACAAATTCTGGTGTAGAAAATCAAGGGCCTTCGTCGTCCTCTGCTCCTGAAGACGTTAAGGTAAAAAAAAAAAAAAAAAAAAAAAAAAAAAAAAAAAAAAAAAACAAAAAAACATGACAATTAATATACATGATGTTTCATTGTTTCATATTAAATATAATTTGTTTCATTACATATTATTGTTGGTTCAAAATAATGTATATGATTTAGATGTATGTTGATTCATTTTATATGCCTATCGTTTCATTTTATATACCTATTGCTTCATACATTTCGGGTGTTTAATGTTTTGTCTACGCTGTTTCATATAATAAATCTGATGTTTCATATTGGCCACATGCTATTGTTGGTTTGTTATAGGGATTTATACTTGATGAATTCAACAACATTTCCAAGGAACTTACTGGCCATGTCCAGTCAATGTATGCACTGATTGACAAGGCATACAAATTGATTGAGGAGGTGGAGATCCCAGATGAGATGAAGGAGCTCATAAGAAATGTATGGGGCAAGTACACATCAGTACAGCCCACTATGAGTTCCCAAGGAATCAACACCCCGGGTTTTCTATCTCAAGATGAGAACTTATTTCATGAGCCAGCGTTTTTATCTGAGCTCAGTGATGTGATGAACAAAGCATGGGCAAATTTTCAGGCCCCACAAGATGAACAACAAGATGAACAACAAGATGAACCCCCCCTTGAGAATGTTGTACCCCCACAAGCTACACCCCACAATGATTTCGTTCATGACATTGTTCCATTATTTGAATTCCAGCCAAACTATAATCTATTTTTAGGTTCACAGGCGTTGCCTCCAACACCCCCAGCAAAAGGAAAGTCACCAGAGCAGGAAGAATCTCCAACGGAGCAGCACTTGGAGTCACTCACTGAATCCATCGTTCATAAGATAACAATGCAACATTCTGAGGAGCCAGTGACTGGTTTGCAAAGAGAAAAAAGAATCACACAAAATCTTCTTGTGCACCTTCGATCCCCATTCATGGTGCAGAATGAAAAAATTTCAGCAAAAATTGATGCCCTACAAAGAACAGCCGCCGAATATGCCTTTTGTGCAGGCCCAAAATCGTGAGAATTTCCTGGAATACTTTGTCTCATATTATATACATATTGTTTCATATTATATACAATATTACATTGTTTCATATTATATACATATTGTTTCATTAATTTGTTTTCCTGTCCCATCAATTTCAGTGAGCAGCTGTACAATGACGGGCTTAACTTCATCAGTAGGGAAGACATTTTAGGACTACAAGGTGAAAACCATGTGGTCAACAATATAATAGACTCCTGGGGCCACATCCTTAACATGGCAAACAAAAGAAGGCAACCAGGCGCTATCAACCGTTTTTTCTGCTCCTCTGAATGTTGGGTAATTATGTCTAAAATTATTTTACAGTTTCAATTTTAAGTTCTAATGTTTCATGTATCATATAATTTGTTTCATTAACATATTGTTCCATTTTTCATTACTTTTGTTTCATATTAAATTAAATATATTTCATTGTACATACAATATGTTTCATTGTATACATTGCCAATGTTTCACTACATAGTGCCAATGTTTCATACATCTGATGTTTCATTTTTCATTTACGCTGTTTCATTTCATAGTGCCAATGTTTGACTATATAGTGCCAATGTTTCATACATTTGATGTTTCATTTTTCATTTATGTTGTTTCATATTATATATCAATTGTTTCTTTGTATATAGTGCCAATGTTCCACTATATAGTGCCAATGTTTCATTTTTAATATATTATGCTCTGTATAAAATACTTCAGTTTTATAGTATTGATACATTATAATATTCCTGATACACTAACAACTACAACAATGATTAATTACCCGGGAAAAAACAGAATATGATGTGCGGTAACAAGTACTTTACGCCAAATACCAAGTTTGCAGAGAGATACAACGCTTTCAAGAGCAGGAAGGTGGACGAGATGAATCATTCTAAAATAACTTCTTTTGACAAAGTAGATTTTTGGTTAGATACTAAACTAGTACTGATTCTTAGCATATATATTTGCTTAAAAAGACTTACTTAATGTTACATATAACTTACTTATTGTTTCATTATAGGTTTTCTTTCTCGTCCCAGCATTTGACCACTATTATCTGTTCTGTTTCAATTTTTCACGCAAGCAACTGCAAATTATAGACAACAGATTTCTAGAAGAAGGTGTTGAAATGGATGCAAAGTACGGTAATTTCCCAACTACCATGGTAAAAATATGACACTGTTTCACTAAACATCACTAGTATTCCATTTTTTATTTTTTGATGTTTCAATTAGTATATCTGGTGTTTCATTGTTGATTTCTGGTGTTTCTGATTATATAGAATTTGTTTCAATATATATATATGGTTTCAAATAATACATTTAATGTTCCATTTTTTCATTACTGCTGATTCATATTAAATTAAATAGGTTTCATTGTACATATAATATGTGGTTTCATATTCATACATCTGATGTTTCATTTTTCATTTACGTTGTTTCATATTATATATCAATTGTTTCATTGTATATATTTGTTGTGCCATTGTTCCTTGGTACATCTAATTGTTTCATATTACACAGATCAAGGCATTTGCTAAATTTCTAAATGAAAAGAAAGTTGGGAATGGACGGGGAGTGTCTAGATTCAATACCACTATGAAGGAAATGAGATGGAAGAATAATGAGAATTATAATGACTGCAGTGTATACGCTCTCAAACACATGGAAACTTACATGGGGCAGCTAGATGAATGTTGGGATATTGGATTCGACCCAAAAGATGTGAGTTTTTGTGTAATTCTTATATTAATTTATACATAATTTATGGTTCATTGTTTCGGTATTTATTTTGAATTGTTAATATATTTCAGCCTGATATAATGAAGAAGCTGAGGATTGAGTATTGTGGGAAAATATTGACAAGCCCTACAAACGTACTACAAGATGAAGTTATAGCCAAATCAAAGACCTGGGCATTAGAGCAGCTTCGTCATGTTAATCAGTAAACAATGTTTATAATGTTTCCACATTAGTTGTAAGATACATAATTTTTATGCATGTCCTGGATAATTTAGCTAAACATCTTTTTATGTTTCGTATGTAAAGATGTGCGTATATTATTTTCAATTGTGAACTATTAATATGACACATTAGAAGTATTAAATGAAACTTTAAATATATAAAATGAAACAACAACTAGGTAATTTGAAACAATGTGATTATAGGTTTAGCTAAACATGTTCTGGATTATTTTCCCATAATTAGAATTATTAAATGAAACTATAAATAGATAAAATGAAACAACGGTAACGTAATATGAAACAATATGAAACAACATGAAACAACATGCATTGTCAACGGTAAGAAATAAATTTAAACCATGCACTGTCACAACTGAACACGTTTCCACATGAAACTGACAAGTGTAAGGTTGCTTTTAAACTTTACAATAAATATGTTCCCAAAGCAACAATACCACACCAGTACTTTTAAAAAAAGATGACTAGTCAAATCAATACACGCTGCCACGACTAGTTAAATCAATACACGCTGCCACATAAAATCAATTTGCACACTTTGTGAAAAATACTATATACTCCGTAACTTTTTTATATAAAACATGCTTACAAAACATGCTAAAACGAATCTTAATGTTTCAGGGAATGTTCTTACTGTTCCCATAAATGAAACAATTGTTACATATATTAGAACTAGTGTTTCTTAAAACTGATGCTTCTCAAAACTGATGTAACATATATTAAAACTTATGTTTCTTAAATGTAACTAATTGTTCCATTACAACAAACATAAAAATGAGTAAAACATTCCCATAAGAAGGAACAACAGTTGCACAAATCATCATGCTTTGTGAGGACAATTCCGAATATCATGATATGCTAGCTCGCCACAGCCACTGCATTTCCTCTTCGTTTTCTTTTTAGATTGTTCAACCGCTATTTCTTTGGCACCCTTTAATCTTTTAGACCCACTAGTTCCAGAGCCCTCGTGAACACCTGTACCTTTATTCTTCGACACTTTAGGAGGCTGAACAAGTATTTCATCAGGAATGCTACATCCTATTAACATCTCAATATCATGTTCACTAGATCTTACATTCTGAGTATCTTCCAAAGTAACATTTTTTGTCGCTTCAATTTTATTCTTGAACTCTTGAATATTCTTAATAAAGTCCTCCTCATGACCTTTAACCCAACTCACACAAGAAAATATCTCCGACCACATTTCATTTATAATCACCCGCCTATCATCTTCGGTGTCTAAACAACTTATATCTAACACTGGTTTCTGAGTAGCATTTATTGTCCAACGATCTAAGATATATTGCTTTGGAATGCTTTTTAAATTCTTTGCCTTCCACATCCATATCATATGTCTGCATGGGATTCCTATCCTATAAAACTTCTTACAAGAGCAGGTAGTGTCATGACTAAAGCACTCAAACAAAACTTTAAATTTCCTTCTCCTATTTGCCTCAGTAACAATTGCTACATCAATACCATCTTCCTTCCTCAATTCATCTACAACACAACAATAAAAAGCACTATGAACTTCATCTTGAAATTCATAAAATACAAAAACGGTGTACACCTCAGAACCATGCCTCTCAATCAACAATTCTGTCTTACATTGAGGGAATTTCTCCTGTGATTCATTGTCATTCTCTGCCTGACAATGTCTCTGTGTATCCAACGCAGTTTCATACCTCATGAAAAACTCCACAAGAGACACGTGAGGATTTACAACGGATGTAAAAAAATTATTCTCACTCTCTGACCTTGAGGTAGTTCTCATAATACCACCCATAAAGACATCTCTAAAATACGCTGGAATCCACATAGCTCTCATCTCAAACATCAAATTCAAGCAATCATGATCTTGTAATTTAAACTCAACAAGAACATTGTTCCACTTCTCTTCAAATTCAGGTGCCTCAATTTCTAAATTCCAAACACACTTACTGAGTTCCTTCAAAAATTCAGTATCCTGAATGATATTCCTTCCAACTTTATCGGGCAGCTTTTTCATTATGTGCCACATACAAAATCTGAAGGACATTAATTATGGGACATTAGACCACTATTTTGAAACATTATCTTTTAAAACTGTAACATTATAGTAAAATTCCGGAACATCATCTTGAAGATTTGAAATAATAAAATAAATAATTGGAATAACTAGGCGAATTCTCGTAACAATTGATTAACCTAATGGAATGTCAGAACATAAATTTGAAACAATAAAACACTATATAGGAACAATGTTTTTTTTAAAAAAAAATTCAGAATAATAATATTTAACATCATCACAACAACTGGAAACATCAATCAACTAATATGAAACATCAGACACGGATTTTGAAACAATAGTATTCACAAATGAATCAATGACATTAATTATGGGACATTATACCACTATTTAGGAACATTAGCTTTTAATACTGTATCATTGTAGTAAAATTCCGGAACATTATCTTGAAGATTTGAAATAATAAAAAAAAATAATTGGAATAATTAGGCAAATTCTCGTAACAATTGATTAACCTAATGGAACATCAGAACATAAATTTGAAACAATAAAACACTATTTAGGAACAAGAATTTTTTTTTTTTTAACAATAATATTTAACATCATTAATTTGAAACAATAATATGAAACAATAGTATTCACAATGAATCATTCTAGTTGTAGTACAATAAAATAAATACTAATCTGAACCAATAAATTTGAAACAATAATATTTAACATCATAACAGCTGGAAACATGAATAAACTAATATGAAACATCAGAAACATATTTTGAAACAATAGTATTCACAAATGAATCATTCTAGTTGCAGTACAATAAAATAAATACCTGTGCTCACATTGTTGGAAAACAGAATTTACAGCAATTTTCATAGCTGGATCTTGATCCGTAATTAAACAATTGGGCTCCCTACCACCCATTGCCTTAACAAATGTTCTAAATAGCCATTCGAAAGAAGCAACATCTTCCTTTGCAATAAAACCAGCATCAAAAGTGACACATTTCTTATGGTGATCGACTCCCGTGAATGGACCAAATACCATATTATATCTGGAAAACATGAAACATACGCTGAAATTACGATTCTATATTTATGTCTACTGTTTCGTAATATTATTCCAATGTTCCGAAAATTAAAACAAATGTTACATCAAATTGTAAAACCCAAAATTTTTTTTAAAAAACTTTAAAAATAACACTATGCTACCTGTTGCTTTGGTAGGTTGTATCAAACGAGAGCATATCACCAAATACGGCATAATTTCTCCGACAAATAGGATCTGCCCATAAAGCTCTACATAGACAGTCGTCTTCATCCATTTCGTAATCAAAAAAATAAGCCGACCACATCAACTTCTTCCTCTTAAAATTATCAACAAACATCTGGGCGTCCGATCCTTCAATATACGCCTTCAAATCTCTATGAAAATTTTTGAAGTCATTCCTACTAGCGCCTATATTCTCATACCCACCAACATATTCCTTCACCATTCTGTATGTCTTGACAGGACCAATATTCACCTGTGGAGACAGAATGTAAAAAGACTAGACTGTTTGAGGACCATGATATATATGGAAACGGATCTAACAGTGCATATTTAATTTTATGAAAAAAAAGGCAAAAAAGATTTCAAAGATTCTAAATATAGATATGAACAAAAAACAATAAGGCACATATTTAATAACAAATAACGGTACACGTTATTCTTGATGGATAGTGCGAAATTCGATGACGACATAATATATTGAAACAAAAATGCACTTTATTGTTCCATATATCTGACCACCTGTTCCAAAAATGCACTTTATTGTTCCATATATCTGACCTACTGTTCCTACGCATTACCCTATTGTTACATTTGTTATAATAACAAAATATTTTTAAACCTTTACAACCAATCGCTCCAACTATGTTTCAATTATACGTAATATTGTTCCATTTATCAAAACCATTGTTCCATACAGTTGTACTTACACCTACTTGAGTATATACATTACAAACAATTGTTCCATAAAAAACAATATATATTTCATATTACAGTATTAATGTTTCATATATGTACACAATTGTTACTTCACATTTAAAATTTAATCATTTTAAACAAATCCATATTCAAATACGATTGTTCCATCCAAAACAATATATATTTCATATTACAGTACCAATGTTTCATATATGTACACAATTGTTACTTCACATTTAAAATTTAATCATTTTAAACAATTGTTCCATCAAAAACAATATATATTTCATATTACAGTACTAATGTTTCATATATGTACACAATTGTTACTTCACATTTAAAATTTAATCATTTTAAACAAAACCATATTCAAATACGATTGTTCCATCCAAAACAATATATATTTCATATTACAGTACCAATGTTTCATATATGTACACAATTGTTACTTGACATTTAAAATTTAATCATTTTAAACAAAACCATATTCAAATGATGAGTATGCCCTTCTTCAAAATTAGAAACAATGTAACCTCCATCTTCGCAATACTTTAAAATCATCTTTGCCTTACAACCAACTCGAGTAGACAATCTTCTTTTAACCATACGAGTATTCGCTTCTTGACAATCATAGTCTTCTTTATCTTGACCAACAACCACTTCTTCAACATTCATATCATCTACAAAATTATCATCTTCTTCCCCGATACTATCAACTTTCTCTGTCACCACATTATTTCGTTTTCCTTTAAACCCAGCTTTATTACATACAATAATTTGAAAAGAAATAATACCATTTTTTCTTTTTTTGACCGTCGACTTTCTAGTAATAAATCTTACAACAGCTGCGTAGGACTCATAAAAACGCAAACCTTCAACAAGTTTTGAAAATTTCGTACCTATAGTTGGTCTAATTTCACTATCACAACATGGAATCCATATCTTCGTTCCACCAGGGGTAAAAGCATGAAGAACATTAGACGTACCAAATTCAACAGACAAATCCATGGTTAATATAACTACAGAAAAAAAAAAATTTGAGCTCTAACCTTTGATAATGTATTCCAATGGCTGAATCTATTCCAATGGCTGAGATAACGTCTTCCAATGACTGACCCATAATGTATTCCAATGGAATACAACGTCTTCCAATGCACAAAACTAAAAAAAAAAAAAAATTACAAACAATCATTACCTTTTCAAGCTGGCCCACGTGAATTCCCACTATAGTTACTAATAAATCTGAACCATTCATCTAATAACAATGAATCGTCTTAGATTGGTTCTCATTTTATATTGGTTCTCACCTAAGCCATGGGTTCTCACATGATCCCATTTCTATATATATATATATATATATATATATATATATAGTTAGAATTAAAGTTACTACTATATATAGAAATTTTATAGAATATATTATATAATATGTACTCATGATTAAAATTAATTAGTCGTGAATATAATAATTATTTCCTAATATATTGACATTAGTCAAAGCTTTTTTTAACTTGAATGAATGTTACTGGACTTTGGGTTAAGTTATGTATGCCCCAAAACTATATATTTTGATGTGTCACAAGTGTCAATTTGTTGTAGTGTCACCTAAGACAAGGAGATATAGTAAGGTTTTGTTTAGTGTCTTATCTGATATGATCTAAATTTTTAGATTTGGTCTAATCTCATTTGATTTAATAATTATCAAAACAAAATACAAAATTAACCATATTTAGCAATAAGTAAGTGATTATAATTAAAAGTTCTGATCTGGATTTATTAAGGAATAAGTAATAATTATCTGAAATAAGTTAAAGAGAACAAGTCTATAAAACCCCATTCGTTTGTAAGAAAAGTAGAGTAAGTAATTTCAATTATAACAATTGATTATTCATAAAAGATTAATAATGTTGATTTCTAACAAGTACACACACTATTATATTGTTTCCTATATACGTAGTATATATAATTATTATTGATTAATGGGTCAAAAACTAAAAATGATTTAGGTGAATAACAAAATTACCACATCATCATGTAATAACTAGATTTGGCAAATTGGGTATTCGGGACGAGTTTGGATCGGGTCAATAACTAAACTGCTTGTGAACTTCCGTGTATTCAAGCAATTAAACATTAGTGTAGAAAACAATGTAACATAAATCATTGCTATAAAGTCAAGTAATGATAAACATTATCATTTTTTCTTACAACTAAGATTTGAATATTTAATGAGGTTATTACATCAATTTATCATTTTACCTATTTAACTAAGGCCAAATAAAAAAATAGTCACAGAGTAACTTACTAGTTAATACTCCAAATACTATCTTAATAATCTAATAAAAGTTGACTAACAACATTATTAGAGCTGAGTAATATTAGCTGGTTGTTAAAACACGTTTTAACAACTTGATTCCAAATATTTTTATCTAGCCATACTCATATACTCGTATGGGTTTTCAATTCGCAATGAACTATCTCGAATTAAAACTTGATACATTTAGAGTAAACCTAGTCATATTATGTACTTCCTCCGTTTTCTTTTACTTGCAACACTTCCCTAAGAAGAAAATGTCACAATACTTAAAACACACTATAAAATGAAAGTTACTTTAGGGAAAAATTATACTATATCCCTTATTTAAAGCACATGACCCACTAAATTACACTCCTAACAATCACTCATCCTATTTTAAAGTTTATTATATCATGTAAACCCCACATTTCTTAATTACCGCGCTAAAGGGTGTGTTGCATCTAAAAGAAAACGGAAGAAGTAATAGTTTAGTCTTTGGTCTAGCTAGCTCACTTCATATGCAGTTTTTCAATACTATTAAATTACACAATTTATATTTTACAAGACCACACAACTAAACTAATAATGTAATTAAATAAAACTTTCCATCATATGTGTAATGCAAATTTGCAACTATGCTCATATATCTACTACTCTTTTTTTTTTTTTTTTTTTTTTTTTTTGACAAGTATATATCTACTACTCAATTGTTATGTAATTATTTTACACTCAAAAAAATAAAGTAAAAAGTAGCAAGAAAGTCGTATACTAAATTACAATTTTATAAATAAAGTTGTTAACCAATAATTTTTTTTTTATCAATATTGCAATTCTACAAAATATACAAGTGAAATTTAGGAGGGAAAATTACCTCCATAAGCAATTAACCATACAAAGTAGTTAAAATTTTAGGGAAATTCTCCCCTCTAAAAGCAGTCTTTGGCGGAAAAACTTCCTCCAAATACATGTAATTTATTATAAAAAAAATAAAAAAAAATAAAAAAAAGGAAAGCCTACTCCCTCCTGTGTTCTTCAGTTCTTCTCTCCAGGTTCCATTCTCTTCTCAATCATCTACTCTCTTCTCTACTGAAGTAGGAAAAACTTTCAACCATCACCAATTAGAGTACTATTTCTATATTCAATTTAATAGCTATGACTTTAAACATATGAAATTAGAAAAAATGGTCTGACATATATTCTGCACTATTATTAGTAGTTCTGGTTGCATCAATAAAAGATATATATGCAAGGGTATTACTTTGCTTCAAGTGTTCAAGGGTATTTCTGGGATTGATGTTTATATATATGCATATACTCCCTTCTTTTAATTTTATTGTCCTGTGTTGCTCTTGGTCTATTTCAAGTAATTGCTCTAGTTATCTATCATCACTCTATTTTCAAGTAATTTCCGTGGCATAATTCGTGGCACAAGAGTCAATTTGTTGTAGTGTCTTAAATCTAAGAAGCACTCTTATCATAGATCCAAGAAAAAAAAAATACCCACGTGCAGAATCGGTTCTTATAAATGCAGGCCTTAGTTTCTTGAGAAAAGCGAGTCATGATATGAAATCAGCCCTGTGGTGAGGAGTTCATCCTTATTAAAAATTATTTGGTTAGCCAAGCTTGCATAGGATGCAAACAGGGGAAATAGCCACCCTTTAATAGTTTAATGCATCAGGCATAGGGTACAGGGACGTTAGTAGTTGTCATTTTAAAAACATGTATGATCATTTTCAGCTTGATGAACACAGGAAAAAACAAAATAACAGTGATGTTGCGGTCTGTGGAGTGGAGCAGCTTTGCCTTTTCCCATATGACCTTGTCCATTGAGAGTTGAATCGATATACAAGTTTTTAAATTGGTCTGGTTACATTTGTTATAGCTAGTTTACTTAAAATGAGGGATTTGCTGGTGCTGTGGATGGCATTGGAGATGTGTAGTTTCAGTTATTTAAGCGTTCCACATTTTACTTCAAGTTGCATATAATCAACTTAGTTTAACTTGTGGAAATGTGCTACATTATATCTAAGCACAAAGCCTTGGTGACTAAGTAAAGCACTAGAATCCTAATAATACATAATTGTTGTTTCCTAAACACACCAAGACTTTCCTTAATAATCGGATTTCTAGCATCATGTAACAAGAATTTTGGTTGCATCAGAATTTAGACTTGGAAATTCCAGTATATAAATAAACAAGAATTTCCATTATATATTTAAAAAAAAAAGGAATTTTGACTTGGACTATTTGCTGCAGATGTTGAGGTAGTCTGGTGTCAGGAAGAGCCAATGAACATGGGCGCTTACAGCTATATTTCACCTCATCTATGTCCACATCTTTCGACCATTGTGTTTGCTGACGACATTGAGTATGTTGGGCGCGTTCCATCTGCTGCAACTGCTACCGGTTTTAGCAAAGGACAGACCGAGCTTCTGTAGAAGGCATTGCAGTCATAGCCAATCCCATTCCCATTAACCAGTAAGATGGTGCACGCTTAACACAGATGGAGCAGCAAATGGCTCTCTTGAGCTAGCTGGGGGAGGGGATATTATCAGAGATGAGAGAAGTTAATTTCGAGGTGTTCAGCCAACTTTGGGTGTTGCTCAGCTTTTCGAGCTGAAATTCTGGCCCTTAAGAAGGGTCTGATCTTAGCCAGGGATCTCAGTATTGACACACTTGTGGTGTAGTTAGATAATAAGGCTTATATTGAAGTGCTATCAAATTAAACAAGCAAGATAATGTGAGTGAATGTGCCTACTTAATTGATTTCTGTAATGATTTGATACAAAAGGAAGATTGGGAAGTCCAGGTGCTTCAAGGCTATCCTGAAGGCAATCGCATAGCGAACTTGCTTGCAAACATTGGTGTAGCTCTATCAAATGATTTTAATTTAGCGTTAGATGTTCCTTTAGAACTAGCTAAGGTTCCCAAAAGGAGGATATCGAAGGATGGCTATTCCAAACTGGTTCCCCCTTAGTGCCATGCTAGTGTCGTACCTTTCTAGTTTTTTTTAGTCGGTTTGTTGACTTGGTTTTGTTTTTTTGGTGCCTGTATATCTTGTCAAAAATGAAACATGGACCTTTTATTCAGCTTTCTTGGTAGCAATTGTTCTTTGGAGAAAGCTCGTGGTACACAAAAACTATTTTTGATTTTAAGATCCGTTTTACTTAGTATTTTAAGACATGCATCTATACGAAGTATTGCTGCAAAATTTTATAATAGGAAGTGTTATTAACAATTTGGCTCATGTATAATCTTTTAGGGAAACGTGTTGTACCTTTTACCAGCTTAGTGCAATTTCCAGAAGTTCATTTGAGAATAATTTATTTTATGTATATGTTATACAATTTGTATTATAAACTAATCTTGAAAAATGCAAACAAAAGACCCAGAATTAATAATTACAAATTGAAAAAAAAAAATGTTTTGCAGGCTATTTTACGCTAAGGTTTTTTTTTTCGAAAATTATTTTTAATAATTACAAGGTGCGATATTTTGAAAATGCAATAATTTGAATTTTATTTGAGTAAATGTAATACGATTATTAATTTATAGTGGTGCATAATCAAGTTTCCATCAATTTTACTTGTAAGAATTTGTAAAAAACTTTTTAGTTTTACATAGGTTATATCTCATGATTAAAACTAAAAGATTGATAACATTAATTTAAGTTTATTTTCTTTACAAAAAATATGATCTGTTTGTATTAACA